AAGATTTATATCTTAAAAATGTTTTAAATAAATTATTACAAAACGTATAAATTTTGCCTAATTATGCAAAGTACTGCGCTAATTTTAAATTTTTTGTTATTAATTTTTTACATTAATGAGACAAATTTTTAAAATTGCGAAGTTTTTCAGGCAATTTTTTGGCTTATTTTTTCTCAAAATACGTTACTAATACAAACTTTATGTATTTTTTTCAAGTGTCACCCGTGTATTGGTTTTTTTCATTTTTGAAGAAAATGAAGCTTGTTAAAAGGGCATTTGACCGTAAAAAAATGGTGAGGCTACAATGGCTTTTTAGGGCTGTAATAATTTTTTTTCATTTTCTCAAAATTACTTAATAATACAAACTTTATTTTTTTAAAGAGTCATTCCGTGTATCGATTTTTTTCATTCTTGTGTGAAATGAAGCATGTTCAAAGGGCATTTGACTGTAAAAAATGGTAGGGTTACAATGGCTTTTTAGGGCTGTAATGATTTTTTTTTCATTTTCTCAAAATTTCTTAGTAATACAAACTTTATTTTTTTCAAGTGTCATCCCGTGTTTTGCTTTTTTCGTTTTTACAGAAAATGAACCTCATTAAAAGAGCGTTTGACTGTAAAAAAATGGTGGGGTTACATTGACTCCTTAGGGCTGTAATGAGTTTTTTTCGTTTTCTCAAAATTCGCTAATAATACAAACTTTACTTTTTTCAAGTGTCATCCCGTTTATCGATTTTTTTCATTTTTGCAGAAAATGAAGCTTGTCAAAAGGGCATTTGACCGTAAAAAAATGGTGGGGTTACAATGGCTTTTTAGGGCTGTAATAAATTTTTTTCATTTTCTCGAAATTCCTTAATAATACAAACTTTATTTTTTTCAAGTGTCATCCCGTGTATCGATTTTTTTCATTTTTGCAGAAAATGAAGCTTTTTAAAAGGGCATTTGACTGTAAAAAAATAGTAGGGTTACAATGGCTTTTTAGTGCTGTAATGAGTTTTTTTCGTTTTCTCACAATTCGTTAATAATATAAACTTTTTTTTTCAAGTGTCATCCCGTGTATCGATTTTTTTCATTTTTGCAGAAAATGAAGCTTGTCTAAAGGGCATTTGACCATAAAAAAATAGTTGGGCTACAATGGCTTTTTAGGGCTGTAATAATTTTTTTTCATTTTCTCAAAATTCCTTAATAATACAAACTTAATTTAAAATAAAAGTATATTTCAACGACCGCTTGATGCAGATTAATATAAAACCGAGTTTGAAAAAGTTATTTTGTTTGCAAAACAGGTCACAAATTGGCCATTGCCACCGTCGCGATTCGTTCAAAAAACAGCAAAATCTTCAAAGAGCAATGGAAGAAGCCAAAAAACTGAAAGTGAAAAGTCCGGAACAAAGCAGAGCCACAACTCCGATCCAACTTCCGGACACGACCGGATCCAATATCATGAAAATAGTCCGGGGAATCACACCTGAAGTTTCAGATTGTCCAACTCCTCGAGATAAAAGTCCTTTCATTTCAATCTCGTCGCCGGCAAAAACACCGGAAAAAGAACCGGATTTGATTAATTTAGAAAGTGCGAAAACTTCACCCATTTTACCATTGAAAAGTAGCTCCGATGATGTGTCTCTAGAATCAATTGAAAAAATTGTAAATGAACGTGGAAGTTTACCGACTTCACCGACGTCGAGTGATGAGAAAAGTTTAGATAGTTTGAGTAAAAAAGCATTTTTCACTCCGGAGGAAAATGAGAAGAAATGTGAGGAAATTGAGACGAAAAATGTCACTTTTGCTTTCAATCTTGTCGATGAGAGTGGGAAAATCGAGGAGGAAACCATCAAAAGAGATGAAGAAAAACTCAATTTCTCAAAAGTGGAACAACCATCTGAAGAAGAAAGTAATGATCCACCTGAAAAAGTCGTCGAAACAAAAACAGAAGAAAAGAAGGAAATAGAAGAGTCAGTTGATCAACCTGAAGAAATTGTCGAGACAAAAACAGAAGAACAGAAGAAAATAGAGGAAAAAAAAGAATCTCAAGAAGAAATTTGTGTCAAGTCTGAAGCTACAGAAGAAAAAGAAGTGAAGAAAGAAGAAAAAATAGAAATTGAAAAGTCTCCAATGGCCGTTAGAAATATTCAAAGAATAGGTGACCGAAATCGAAGACAACCAAAAACTGGATGGCTTTAATTATTTAATCGTTTTTGAGGTTATGAAGTATTTGGCCTTTGTGAAATAAAAATGTGGTGGCCATGAAGTAGTTTTTATTCTTGTCAAGTTGGCATTTCCTAGTGACAATTTTTCTGGCGATTTTTTGGAAATGAAAAAAATGTTTTTTTTCACGTTTTAAACCAGAAACTTGATTATTACGTCAAATTTTTTAGTCAAAACACTACCAAATTGGTTAAAAATAGTTCTATTCATTTTTTTTTTAAAGATTTTACTAAACAGGATGGAAAATGACAATTTATTTTTGTCTTTTTTGAATACTTTTTCAGCTAGAAACACAATTATTTCGTTAAAAATCCAAAAATTAACAAATTCGACCAAAAACACGGTTATTTTACCTTTTTCAGCTGTTTTTGAGATAAAAAAGGAAGATTCTAAAAATTTTGAAGCAGGCAAAAAAATTACAAAATTAAATCAAAATTAAGCTTGTTTAGCTTGATTTTCTTCGTTTTTGAACCAAACACGCCTAAAAGTCACAAAAAGAATTGATATTAAGGTTATTTTGTTTGTTTAAAATTAAGCTGAGAAAGCACAAAACTTGGCCAAAAATGGTTTGAAGCGTATTTTTGTAAGCTTTTTCACAAAATTTTGTTGAAAACTAGTCGAAAAATCCTGAAATGCATGTCATTTTGGGTTTTTTTTTCAAGAGCTTAAGCCTGAAAACTGCGTATCTGGTGAATTTTATGTTTTTGATCTGGCAACACTGTGACAATTTTTCTGGTAATTTTTTGGAAATGAAAAAAATGTTTTTCGAGTATTTTCCACGTTTTCAACCAAAAACTTGATTATTACGTCAATTTTTTTAGTCAAAACACCACCAAATTGGCTAAAAATAGTTCTATTTGTTTTTTTTACAAGATTTTTAGACGTGATGATCAAAAATGACAATTTATTTTGGTCTTTTTCGAATACTTTTTCAGTTAGAAACACAATTATTTTGCAAAATTTTATTAGAAATAATCCAAAAATTCAACAAATTCTTCCAAAACGGCGTATTTTTGCCCTTTTCAACTGTTTAAGCGTAAAAAAAATTCTAAAAATTTTGAAGCAGGCAAAAAAATTACAAAACTAAAAAAAGCCGAAATGCATGTCATTTTTGCTTTTTTCAAGAGTTTAAGTGGATTTTTTGCATTTTTTATTAAAAATTTGGCGAATTTCTCAACTCGGATCTGGTAAAATTTATGTTTTTAATCTGGTCACACTGATCCTAACCTCAGTTTATCACAACCTGTCAAAAGTGTCAAATTACGAATTTCTTTCTTATTTTCAGCTAAAAAACGCACTAAACAATCATGAAAACGTGAAATTTGCCGAGTTTCAAACACAAAAATGGAGAAAAACGGCGTTATTTTCCACCCAATCATAAGTTCGATTCAAAAAATCGCCTTATATGAGACCAAATCGGTTTGTTTCACGCCCCCCCAAACCAAAACTGAATAAGAACTTTCAGAAATACTATTTGGTTGGCTCCAACAACACCCAAACCCGATTTCGAGTCCTTAAAATCGATCGTCAAGAAGCCAAAGACTTGAAAATCTGCGACGACAAAGTTGAATACACGGAGAAGGAAATCCACGATCTTGTCGACATGATCGATTCCGGTAATCGCCAAAGATCATCATCGACAAATAGTGGTTTTTCGAAAGTGATTTCCTCATTCGGGATTGTTGGTAATTGCCTAAAACACTTGTGGTTTTTACCCAATGTTGAAATTTAGGTTTTATTCGATTCCTTGAAGGCTATTACATTATTTTGATAACAAAACGACGCAAAGTCGCCGTGATTGGCTACCACACAATCTACAAAATCGAAGACACTTCCATGATCTACATCCCTCATGAATCCATCCGTTTTGTGCACCCTGACGAACCTCGTTATGTGAAAATGTTCCAAAACATCGACTTGGCGAGCAATTTTTACTTCAGTTATAGCTACGACCTCACACACACCCTTCAACATAACCTCACAACTCCGAAACAACTCATGCACAACCCTCTAACCACACTTAGCCAATCCGATTACGGCATTCGCTCCAAACCACGCCTTAAATTCGTCTGGAACACCCACCTTCTCACACCCGAACTACACCCTGATTGGTTATTGTACATCACGCACGGTTTCATCGGCCAATCAAACATCAACGTTTTCGGACGTTCGGTTTACGTCACACTAATCGCACGACGTTCAGCTAAATACGCCGGTACGAGATTTTTGAAACGTGGCGCGAATTTCCAAGGTGACGTGGCGAATGAAGTTGAAACCGAACAAATGGTACATGATTCGGGGGTTTCCTCATTTAGTCAAAGTCGTTTTACGTCATTTGTACAAATGAGGGGGTCCATACCGGGACATTGGCGACAAGATATGGGCAAAATGGTGGCGAAACCTGCCATCACTATGGACTTGTATGATCCATATGCTGAAACAGCTGGGGCACATTTTAACGAACTTTTGAAACGTTATGGGGCCCCTATTATCATACTTAACCTAGTCAAACAAAGAGAGAAAAAAAAACAAGAACGGTTACTTAGCGACGAACTTAATACAGCTGTCAAATATCTTAATCAATTTCTCCCACCCGAGTATCAAATCATTTATAAAACATTCGACATGGCGAGAAAAAACAAAGGAAATAACACTAATGTGATGGGGCATTTAGCAGAAATTGCGAAAAATGCCGTCATGAAAACCGGTTTTTTTCATAACCAACAAAAATACTACGCACAGAAAAGTAGTACACTTGTTGGGGGGCATAATACCGAGCATGGTAGCGTCCAAACCGGCATAATACGTACGAATTGTGTCGATTGTCTTGATCGGACGAATACGGCCCAATTTGCAATTGGTAAATGTGTACTTGGGTACCAATTATGTGCACTTGGTATTTTGGACTCGCCAAATCTCGAATTCGATACGGATTGTGTCCGAATGTTGGAATGCCTCTATGAGGATCATGGTGATACACTTGCATTACAATATGGGGGCTCCCAATTAGTACACAGGATTAAAACGTATCGTAAAACAGCCCCATGGACGTCACAAGGCAATGACATTATGCAAACTTTAAGTCGTTACTATAGTAATACATTTTCGGATGCGGAAAAACAAAATACGATCAATTTATTTTTGGGGATTTTTATTCCCGATGAAACTAAACCTCAAATTTGGGACTACACGTCCGATTATTATTTTCATCATAAACCGATAGTTTATAGTAATAAATCGTTGACGCAATGGTGGGACTCACAAGTCCTAAAATGCCTTCCTTATGCCTATAATGACATGACTAAGGCATGTTCTGAACTCATACAAGTCCATTCAAAGGACGCTGAAATGATCGATGCCTACTCTGATTATCATAAACCGTACGAATTGAGTGTATTAAATGACGTTTATGCGTTTAAAATCAGTAATTCAGTGCGTGATTTTATGCCAAATTGTACTACCGATTATAGTCCTTTTATAATACGGATAAGGCCAGTGAGACGAAGAGAGGAGAATTTGAATAAAGGTTTAGCAATGAAAAATCCTTCGGTTACTGGTCAAAGTTCGACGAGTTCAGCAGCGTCCAGTTCGAGGTTAGTATTAGGACTCGGGTTTGGACTTGTGTCATTGTGATTTTAGTTCAGATGTTGATTCATGCGATGATGAGGATAGTACGTACACGAATGAGTCCCAAGGGACTACTTCGAAGGAAAGTAGTCCTGAACCCATCACTTTTAAGGCACTTTTTCCATCAATGAAGGAAATTTATGGGACGCAACTTGTCACTCCCAAGAAAAACGACATTGGGGTGTATAAAAAGTACTCAAATTTTGATTTTTGGTACACATTGTACGGTTTATTCTCATTTTAGGTATGTTTTAATTGGGAAAAAAGCAAACGGGACGGCGAAAAACACAAATACACTTCTCTCATTGTCACTTTTTAAACCTCAAAGCAAGTTTTTAGAGGATTCTTCGGTTCAAGTGAAAGCACCAAAAGTCGATAAAAGATCGATCCAGATCTATCAGAATTATATTAATGTTGGGATTAACGGTGGAACGGAACCGAAAGCCTCAGATTTAGCACTGTATCAAAAATATGCTAGTTTTAAATAAATTATTTGAATTTGGTGCGTTTTTTGATCCCAGTCGGTAAAACAGTTACCCAAGTGGTGATTGCGATTATTGTAAAAATAAGTACAATTTTCCCTTTCAAATCGTGACAATTACTACAAAACTTAGTCGGGACTTGATTTAATAAATTAATTAAAACGGTTTTACCCAAAATATCGTATTTCTAGTTGGCTGCCATTCCCTAGTCGGTAATACAGTTCCCTAGTTCTTTTTCGGAGAATAAATTGTGGCGACCACGTTGTAGCAACTGTAAGTAGAAATTTCTCCTTTAAAACCCCCCAAAACAGTGCAAATTTATACAAAACTTGTAAATTTCGCACTTGTGTTTATTTCTCACGCGTTTAATTGTGTTAATTCGCGTTTGAAACGTATTTTTTTCCGGTCGAAAAATAATTGAGGTTATGTCACCTTTTCCAATTGTTTTCCAGGCGCCACGATGCAAATTTTCGTGAAAACTCTGACCGGCAAGACCATCACTCTCGAAGTCGAGCCTTCAGACACCATCGAAAATGTGAAAGCGAAGATTCAGGACAAAGAAGGTATTCCTCCCGATCAACAGCGTCTAATTTTTGCGGGCAAACAACTGGAAGATGGACGCACTTTGTCCGATTACAACATCCAGAAGGAATCCACCCTTCATTTAGTCTTGCGTCTACGAGGTGGGATTATTGAGCCGTCTTTGCGTCTCTTGGCTCAGAAATACAATTGCGATAAAATGATTTGTCGCAAATGTTATGCACGATTGCATCCACGTGCCACTAATTGTCGCAAGACAAAGTGTGGACACACCAATAATCTCCGCCCTAAGAAGAAGTTGAAGGGTTAAGTTTATTGTCATTAGAGGAGGAGAAACAAAATAAAACATTTTTTCTTCATCATGATTTGGGTTTGAAATATTTCACCACCTTTTTCCTAGTTAGTGAAAAGTTTATTTGAGTTAAATAAGCGATACAAGTGTTAAATGATGAGTAATTATGAATTAGAGTCCTTGACCATCATTTGGGGATCGAACATCGTCAATTTTCAGTATCATTTTGACAAGTTGTGTAGCGAGAAGTAATTGTTGTCGTTTCGATTTCAGCGATTCAATAACATGTTGTTCCCTCATATTCATATTTCCTGTATTCATACAATCAATCCCAAGAGATGAATCTCCAGTTGTTGATTGTTTTGCTTTGACTTCACCTAAAGCATGAATCGCTGATAATCCACAATTTTCAGCTAACGCCAATGGAATGCTTTCCAAAGCTTCAGCAAAAGCCCTGAAAGCATACTGTTCCAAAGACGCTAATTGATCAGCTTGTGCCCCCACAGCTAAACTACATGCAACTTCAGCTGCGCCCCCTCCATACACAACTCTCGGTTCCTGTACTAAACTTCTAACAACACATAGTGCGTCATGAAGACTTCTCTTCGCCTCAGCAACCAACATTTGGTTACCCCCACGTACTAAAATAGTGACAGCGCGCGAATTTGAACACTCCTCAATCACCAACATGTGGTCTTTGGTTGTACCAAAAGACAATTCACGGACTAAACCAGCGCTACCTAATTTATCCGGATTTAATTCCTCAAAACGAGGGACAATTCGCCCCCCTGTTGCTATAGCAATAAGCTCAATTTCAGGACCCCCAACCCAACGAACAGCTGGGAGTTGTTGTTGGAGAAGGAGGTGATTAGCCTCATCGTCGAAACCCCATTGGCAGATGGCTAATGTTGCCCCCGCCTTTTTAACAAGCCCCACCTACAAGACAAATATTACTAGGGATTTTATTACTTATCAGTGTTACCATTTCTTTAAACTTGTCTTGTTCGTATTGACGCAATTCTTTGAATTCTTCAACGTTGCTAACATCCAACTTATGTTTGGTTTTGGGTTTGGGGGGTTCAAATGGACAAGTCAGGATTGCCAACTTGACATTTTTCAATTCTTTAGGCATTTGAGGGTGGGACATGGTTTTGTCAATGACCACACCTTTGACCAATGTAGTGTCTTCTAAACGCCCACCAACTTTACCTTCGACTTTAATCAATTCGAAATTGACATCTTTTTGTTCCAAATCTGCCACAGCCAACACTGCATTGACGGCAATTTCGGCCATTTGTCTGTGGCATTTATTTATGATTTTTGACCCTAAAGTAGTCATCGCGACTTTGATCAGAGGCTCCGTGTTTTGCGCCGAAACTGGGAACAATTCAGCGATTTTCTCCAAATGTTTAACAGCTGTTTGACAAGCCAATTCAAACCCATCGGCGATTCGAATTGGATGAATACCACGGTCGAGTAAAGCCCCGGCTTGTTCCAACAAAGCCCCCGCAAGAACAACAACCCCAGTTGTACCATCGCCAATTTCGTCATCCTGCGATTGGGACAATTGTACCAACAATTTACCAATTTCATGGTCAACCTCCATCATTTTCAAAATCGTTGCCCCATCATTGGTCACAGTCACTTCACCGTCGGGCGAAACCATCATCTTGTCGAGGCCTTTGGGGCCCAAAGAGGTGCGAATGGTGTTGGCGATTTGCTGGGCGGCCAAAATGTGCGACTAACAAACAAAAATCGTTTTTTGCAATCAATCGGGGGGGAATTTGTGCGATTTTGGGGGGGAAAACAACGAAAAGGGGCGATTTTTGCAAAAATGTAAACACATGATGACAAATGTCAATATTTGACATAACCTCACCTTCAAAGCATCAATTCCGGTTAATCGCTTCTGGTTTTCTTGGTCGCGTAAAATAATAAAAGGGCGACCGAACTCGTCAAAGGCTATACTTCCGGGGAAAGCCGCCATGGCTGATGGGCTATTTTCGGAAAGATTAAAAACGATTTGAGTTTTGACAAATTTTCAACACCGGCAAACACACTGAAGTTGGCTAGGGAACTAGCAGTCGTGCCAACGCCCGAATAAAAAAACACTAGAGGAAACTGAATAATGGTGAGTCGCCGTTTTGATGTAAATTTATTTAAATAACAAAGAAATTAGGAATTTATAGATCGCATAATTTTACACTATCATCATATTTTCTACATTGCTGAGAATCATTGCATTTTTCCGTGAATAACTGCACATGACGTAAATAAATAAGTGTATCGATAAATACAATTCTAGTGATTATTCATTAAGTTAAGTATTTACAAAACAACTCAAGAGTTATTTTTCAGTGCGTCGAAATTATTAGAAAATCGTACTGAACAACAACTCTCAAGCTTCATGTACAAACTGGTATTATATTTTGAACACATTTACCACTGTACTTGCGGTAGTGGATTGGTATGGCCCTGGCTTGGAAATTACATTTTTTTTTAATTTAAATCTCTCTTTCTTATTTTGAGGTATGTAACAAAATCACTTGCTTCAATACTGCTGCACTAAATCTAGTTACATTTGATTGACAAAAACAAAACAAATGTGTATAACCAGAGCCAACTTGCATACAGTTAACGGTAAATCATAGGAAACATGTATACATATGTGGTTACTCGCTAGAATTAATCATTAATATTTAAATACTAGGCATAAATTACTTTATTCTCATTTTTAACTTAATTCCTAATAAAAAATCTCGTGATTTTTCAAGTTTTTCTTTCATTCGATCCGTAATAAAACACAACAGAGCTTCAATGCCCCAAGTCTGTTGTTGTTGTTGTCGTTTGTCCACTTGCAAAAAAATCACACATCACTATAATCCTCAACTAAAAAAACCTTCTTAAAATTAACAAAAACAAAAAAAAAAAATTAAAATGAAACACAATGCACAATATAAAAATCCTCCTTCAATGTATTGCGACCGAATTGTGTTGAACACAAACCCCAACCATCGGACTGTCGTCTCTCTCGTTCGTAGTTGTAGATTTAGGCGGCTGTGGCCCATTTGTAACAGTTGTTTTGGGGGCGCTACTATCGGTCATGGGAACCCCCGGATACGGGGCGTACTGTAATGACGTCACTCCGTAGTTGAGTGGGGGGACCTGGTGGTGGTAGCGGCGGTGAGGATGTCGTGACGGAGACGGATCACATTCCATCGTCGTATAACCAGACAATTCTCTCGATCGTCCCATCAAATTTAACCCTGAAAATGACACTATTTACTACCAACCAACAAAACAAAAAACACTAAACACAGAAATGGAAGGTTCTTAATCATCAAACCAGATTAAATAGCACACAACACTTCCAGTTCTGCCAACAATAACACTCCGGTAATAAAAACTACAATTTTTTAGTTTTTTTTTTTTTTTTTCATCAATACCTGTGTTAGTAAGAGCAGTTACGGTTCGGCACCGTATCACTATGTTAGTCATCGTTGATTTCCCGTAACGTCTGCACAAAAAATTCAAAACTTGACTCAAATTCAAAACGCAACCAATTTTTTTTTTTTTTTGTATTATTTTCACATACCGTGTTGACTACTCGAACTATTCGTCAATGAAGACATATCCATTGAGGCAACAGCTGGACTTGAACTGTTACTATTAGGTGTTGAAGTACATTCATCTGTTGTACGTTTAAAAAAATTATGTTGGAGTGCATAATACGATGTTATCCTCGATTTTGGATCGTAATCGAGCATGCGTAAAATCAGATCCTTGAATTTGAGATATTCACCAGTGGAATGACCCGGTTCGCCGGCTCTTCGTCCTCCAGGACCACCACTATCCACACCCAAAATATCGTGTAATCGACGTGTTCCAGGCAATTTGTACTTTTTACCATCTTTCGCCTTCTTCAATACATATCTAACAAACAAAACACTATTAATTAACCCTTTCATCCAACCTAAACGAGTCGCTCTTGTCATTTATTATAATTGTAACACATTAAAAGTATTGGGAATAATCATATTTATTTGAAAATTGGTACATAGCCATTTTTTAAAATTTTGAATTCGTTTTTTTGGCGTTTGAAAGAGAGAATTTAGATCTTTCTTCCGGTGTTTTCAAATTTTGAAAAAAAAAATTAACAAACCCTAAAATTTTAAGGTTACTTTTGTAATAATTCAAAAAGCCGTAACTCAATTTTTCCAAATAAAACACCCCAATTTTTATTTTACAAAATGGAAGAGAATTTAATTCTGCATCGATCTGTATTAACATTTCCTATACCTAAATTTAATAATTTGGACAAAAAACAAATAAGAAAAAAGCATTTTTTTGTTTTTTTTTTTTTTTTCTGTTACCTATTTATCTAAATTTGAGAGAAATTTGCCCAAACAACGCAAACAATTTCAAAAGTGAAATGCGTTATTTTTGTTTCTTTTTAAAAATTCAAAGCATTTTTTACATAGAAATTCACAAAATCCGAGAAATTAACTAAAACAAGGCAGAAAATTACGAAACTAAATTTAGAAATGATTTTTTCTTATTTTTAGAAATCCAAACCGTTTTCAAATAGTGCCAAAATATGGAGTCAAAGCTACTCAAACTTAGATTTAATTAATTTATTTTGCACTTATGGAGAGTGTAACAAAAAAAATATGGAAAGCTGATGAAAACTACCTTAAAATAACCCTATTAATCCAAAAACGCAGTGAAAAATATACCTTTCCATTTAAAATAAGAAAGTTGAGACCGACTTCCGGTATAACCGGAAGTGCCGCCATCTTGAAAATATTTTCATTTATGAGAACTTAATGGATTATGGCTATGTACCAATTTTCAAATAAATATGATTATTCAAACACCCAATACTTTTAATGTGGAGTTTAGACGGAACATCCTGTATAGTAACCATGAAAAATTCAACAGTCATACTATGGTTACTATGGGAATAATTAAGGCTCGGTTATATGCAAAATGCATATTTGTTATTAAGAGGTATATCAACAAAATTGTAAGTTTTCTATGCATATCTAATGTTTTTTGATTAAAATAAGCCAATTAAAAAATTCATATTTTGGCAGCTTCGTCCATATTTTAGGAAATGTTGCATATTTGTGCATATTTTTAAGAAGTTTAAGAAAAATAATCCGATTAAAAAATATTTTAAAGAGAAAACAACCTTTTTTTTTAATCATTTGTTTCCAAATCTAAATTTCAGTAATATAGAAAAAAAAAAATTATTTTGAGAACAAAATTTTGTTTTATTCTTGAGTTATTCAATTTTTGTTGACTTAATTTTTTATTGTTAAAAAGTTTTGCATATCGATGCACATTTGGCATATATTAGGGCATATTTTACGAATTTTTCATGCATATAATCCGAGCCTTAGTAATAATTATAAAATGACAAGAGCAGTGGCGTCGCATCATTTTTTTTTACTAACCTCCCTTCTGGTAATTTTTCGAAAAATTTCCGCGTTTTATTGGCTTGATCGAGTAGACTTTTCGGTGGCATTCCCAACACTTCAACGATTTTATTCATTTGATCGATTTCGTTGGCACCACTGAAAAGTGGTTCACCTGTATGCATCTCGACTAGTATGCATCCCAATGACCACATATCTATTGCTAAATCGTATGGTATCCCTAATAAGACTTCTGGTGATCTATAAAACCTTGATTGTATGTATTGGTATATCTGAAAATTAATTGATAATTAAAAAAAAAAAAAAAATTTCTGTGTGAGATGTGTGTTTTACCCTTTGTCCCAATTGACAAGAACTACCAAAATCGACAATTTTAATAGCTGAACGTTTCGGATTGCACAAAAGTATATTTTCAGGTTTTAGATCGCAATGTATGATGTTGAGTTCAGGCGTTGAAAGGAACAATAGTGCTGTACACAGTTGCTGGGCAAACTTTCTCGTGAGATTCAATGAGACACCACGGAAGTTTGTATTTCTCAACAGATCATATAGATTATACGAAAGCAGTTCGAACACTAAACACAGGTGGTTTCGCCACATAAAATGACGTTTTAATTTAACTGAAACAAAAATTTATTTCAAGTAAAAATAGAAAACAATTTTTTTTGGGGGGGCTTACCTATATAATACTTATTTTCGGCATCTGCCCTATTCATCATTTCTAATAATTTCACTTCGATTTGTGCCTGATTTAGAAATGGTTTTTTATTTTTGATAATTTTTATCGCCACATGACATTGTTCTACATGATCATAGGCCTTTACGACCTGTCCGAATGATCCTTTTCCTATAAGCGAGTCGATTTCGTATCGGTCGAGGAACTTTTCACCATTCTTCACAATATAATCGTGATTATCGTCGTCGTAACCGTCATTGTATAGTTTTCTCTCTTTTTTATGAGAGGTGTCTTCTTGGGGTTGCGCCGCTCGTCGTTTCTTCTTTGCGTAATAAACCTACAAAAAAATTAAATTCATTTTTTTTTGAGACACATAGCAACTTTTTCTAATTTAATTTCCCTCAGGATGACGTGATTAAAATTTACTTCGTATAATTAAAGTTATTTGCATTCTGGAATTAACTTCATTTAGACAACGACAACGTCGACTCTCGACGCAAATTAATAATAAAATAAATCGGATAAAATGACCCCCCAATTCAAAACTGGTAACAATAATAACTTACATTACAAGTGCGGTAGGTGAGGTTTTAATATTGAAGCACGAAGTGCCACTGAGTGCTTTAATATCATTGAAATTTCACAAAAGGATTGTAAAAATTGAAAATGATCAAAAAGGCAAATTTCCAACATACATAGAATTTCATTAATTATTATCAAATAATTCAAATTTTTATCAATTTGATTTTTTTACGGAATTCTGGTTCTAGGAATTTCCGGGGATTTATAAAGAATTAAGTTTGTGTGATTTTACATGGTAAAAAAATTGGTGAATTTTTTTGGAATTCTAGATTCCAAATAGGTATTTTTGAAAATTGTGGGAATTTTTACGAATTTAATTAAAAAAATATCTAAGAACTTGAATATTTTAAGTTGTATTTCGTAAGATTTTTTATAAAAATTCCTCTTTTTTTTGTGTTTTGAAAATTGGGAAAGAAAAAAATGCAAAAATATTTTACAATACGAAGGTTTCAACACTGAAAAAGATAACTTTTTTCAAATAATTTTTCCATTGGTTGGATTTAGAATTATCGAGAATTTCCTGTAAATCTACATTTTGAAAAATTTTCATGTAATTATCAAATTTTTCTCGAAAAACTACAGATTGAATTGAATTTTCACACAAAATTTAAGATTTTTAACAGTTTTTTTTATAAATTTTTGACAATTTCTACCTTGTTGAAATTTATTTTTAAAAAATTTTGGTAAATTCAAAGTATTTCCAAGTATTTATAATAAACTCAAATAGTCCTGATGTAAAAATCGGTTAATTAGAATAAATTTTTGCTGACACACTTTTTATAGCTACGGATTTAAATTAATAACAAAAAAAGACTCAATTTAATTAAAATTTCACAAATGGATTGTAAAAATTGAAGAAAAACAAAAAGGCAAAACAATTTACAATATGAAAGTTCCAATATGGACATACATAACATTTTTTCATAGAATTTCATGAATGATTATCAAATAATTCTTTTTCGTGTAAAATGTTTTATAAATTTTTGTCAATTTGATATTTTTACGGAATTCTGGTGAGTTCTAGGAATTTTCGGGGATTTATAAGGAATTAAAGTTGTCCGATTTTACGTTTAAAATGGTAAAAAAA